AGTATACAGATATGAACTCCTCAAGAAACATCTTTATCTTTGGATTTTCTCTATTTGCTGGCCTCACAATTCCCAGCTGGGCAAACAAAAATAGTGCTCTGCTGAAAACAGGTAAGAAGTGACATCAGAAGCATTTTCTGCAGCATGAAATGGAAGGAAAGGCTGACCAGAGAAATCTTTTAAAATAGTTTTTTCTGTATAAAATGCTGAAATCTGTGCTTTGACTGTTGCCTGTTTCTTTTTGTGAGGGCTATTTTTGCCTTTTGCCCTGGATGCATAGCTCTGGTGCAGAAATCTCTGCTTTTGGTCAGTGACTGGATTCTCATGAATGAGGCTTTCTTATGTGCTCATAAACAATAAAATGCTGTGCTTTCAAAATGCAAGAGCATACTCCTCTACTAAATTCCATCAAGTTCACTTTATTGAAATTTTCAGTTCTCCAGCAGCTGGCCCTTCACTGTTTCTTGTGTGACTGATGTCTTCATCACAAAGGCCAGAGTGTCCTCTCTTAAAGCATACATGGTGTGCTGGGTGGGCTGATTAAAGAGCTGGGCCCACAAACCCCATGCTCTATAGATGTCCTGTCAGCTGCTCAGTGCCACTGGGCTTAGCTCATGGCCATCAGCCCTCAAGGGGAAAGAAACATCACACCTGATGAGCTTGTGGTGCTGAAATCTCATGCTAAATATACTCAGATTTCTTTGGGAACTGAAGCTCGTGCTCTGTAGGGAGCTGATAGGTGTTGTGTTGTGCACGTGCTGAATGTGTCTGGAGCAGAAGGTGGCTTTTTCTCAGACAGTGCTGGGGTCTGCACTGTTAATAAGCTCTTAATGTATTTATGAGCCATTTCCTGCCCACTGTGAGTCTGTGAATAATCATGTAGAATAAAACTATTAAGTCTGAAACTGGCTGTGAGATCATTCTCCCTTCCACTCCCAAATCTTACACTCTGCTTTGGATTTGCAAGTCTTGTCCAAGCAAGCATACAGCTTGCAGCCTCTTGGCATCAGAAATGTTGCTGGTAGAACAGGTAAAATGCTTTTCCTGCACCACAATCTAAAGCTTTTTTTTTTTTGCTAGGAATCATCCAGCTTGACCAAGTGATCCTGGTGCTTCTCACCACTGGCATGTTTGTGGGTGGACTTCTGGGCTTTATCCTGGATAACACCATTCCAGGTAGGATTTGCTGAAATGAGCTGCTAGTTTGTGCCTGTATAAGGGTTTGTTCCCTGGTACTTTTTGTTTTCATGACTCCTGTTCTATGGATAGGAGTTGTGCTAGCAACCATGAAATACCGTGTGACTGCACTCCTCTCAGAGAGGAGTGAGGAACAGGAGACATCACTGAAATGGTCTCTGGCTGGAAAACAGCAGCTTATCAAAAATTAAATAATTTGTCAGGAAGAACTCAGGCTGAGGAAAAGGTTTATTTGGCAAATATGTCTTTCAGGGAACATGCCTGCCTAAAACCATATTGCTAGTTAAAAGGAGAGAGGAAAGCAGCTGTAAGAAGTGGAAGGAGCCAGCACGGGAGCTGCTAAAACTGAAGCTGAACTAAAGCCACAGCAGTGGAAAGCAGTAGGAAAGGCTGGTGCTGGCCCTCAAAGGCAGCAAAGAGCCTTGGATTTTCATCTAGCATGGGGAGGGAAGGAATAAGAATAGGAGAGGAAACCCTCTTTTCTGCTGCAGGAAAAGAGCAGGAAGAAAGGACACTCTGTTTAACCAGATTCTGTTACTGTCTGTGGCTTCTCAGAAAGCCAGTCTCCTTTTGGCTCATTAATTTTCCTGCAGCCTTCAATCATCAGCTCCTCTGGGCAGAATTTACAGGTAGGATCACTCCCTTTCCCAAGAGGTTCTTTGCTGCCATAGCAGTTACAGGCACTTAGGAATTCCTTTGGCTAGGGTAAATACCTGTAACTGACTAATAACTGTTAGCTAAATCTGCTCTGAAGTGTCTGTCTGGGCAGGTAACATCCAGCCTTGCTTTCCCAGCACTGCATGAACTTCCCCTTTGAACAGTTCTTGGATCTCCTGTGGCAGGTGAAAACTTCTTGGTATACATGATTCCCATGGAAAGCATGGAGAAGGCTGCTAATCTGGAAGCTGTTGCAGGAAAAGGGGTATTGTCTGGAAGCTCATTAGTGAATATTTGTAGAGCTCTTTGGAGCTGGAAGGGTTTAAGTAGAAGGGATTTGTATTTTGTGCTGGGTCTGCTGGGATTTGAGCAGAGAGTGTGAGGCACACAAAGCAGCCCTGCTGTTTTAAACACAACAACCTCACTTTGCTCTTGCAGGAACACAGGAGGAGCGGGGGCTCCTGGCATGGAAGCAAAGCCACAAGGGAGGGATGGAGAGCTCTCAGCTCATTTCCAAGGTCTATGATCTTCCCTTTGGCATAGGCACCAGATACTGCAATGTCTCTTGGTTTCGCTATCTCCCTGCTTGCCCCAAAAAACTGTCTTGTGACAAGAGCATGGATGAACTGAAGGCTACTAGGCAGAAAACCAGTGTTGAAGCATGCTTAGAAAGAAACTCTGAGGTTGGTGCTGATACACCAGTCAGCACCAATTGGTGCTGATACAAGGATATAAACACCTCGCCTGCAAGTGAACTCATCTTAGAAACAGAGGTCTGAAAGTATGTCTGCAGCCCCTATCATCTGAGCATGAGCTGGCAGCTGTTTGAGAGGGAAGCAGGAAAAGGATAATGTCTTCCTCTTCCCAGCTCTGCTGACTGCACCACTGATGGCCTTGAGGAAGTAATTTTTTCCTTCTCTCTTCTTGGCTGCTCACTTGTAGGAAGAACCTGATCCCTCCTCGGGGAACACCAAAGCCCAAGAAATGCCTAGGAAAGGTTTTCTGTTTCCTTCTTGCACTGACCCTTGGGCACCCTAAGGGGCAGCTGTTCAGCTCAAGCAGGAGGGCTTCCTGTCCCCTGATGTGGCAGCTGAAGGAGCTTCCCTAACGTGGGCCCTGCACCACTCTCGGGCATCCCTTGGGTTGGGGTTAATCCCCAGCACCTTAAAGCAACACCCACCTCTCACCTTGTGTTGTATACCTCATCCTGGCCAAGGGGAAGGAGCAGGTGCCTCTAGCTCATGATTCATCTCATTCCAAATTCCCTTCATTTAGCCAGTCAAATGAATGTTGTAGGTGAGGCATCTAAAGTTAATGGGATGGATTGTCTTCTGAACGTGTCTCTTCTGCCTCAGACCACAGAGGGACTCTAGAGACCTTAGTTAGGTTCTTGACCTAACAGAAAAAAACAGCCTTACTGAAATGTATTCCACCTTTGGAATGCTGGGAGGAGTCTCAGGAGAACCAGGTTGGGCACCCAACCCTACAAAGATGAAGGAATGCTCATCAAATATAATGGAGAAAACACTTCTGCTCACAATCCTTCACATCCCTATGCTGCTTCTGTGTCCTGTGTACCCTTGCTGTACCTGTTTGGTCTAGTGTGGTGATTGTGTGGTGAAAAGCACTTCTCTGGAAAACAGGTGTGCAGGTAATTGCTCCTGTTCCCTATTAGCTTCAACCTTTAGGGCCATATGCAATGTGATGACATGTGGTCCTGTGGTTCTTGGTGCTGTGTAATAAAATTGTTGCTGTAGCATAAGTTTGTGTTTCCTTCATTGAGATTAATACTTGTTTTTTGTAAGTATAATAAATAATAACATGTACACTGTAATGCTATTTCTCAGAGTGGTTGCTGGACTGAGTGGCAGGTGGTATTCAAAATATCACATGCAGGTATTCAAAGAACCACTGCACTCCTGTGAACTCTGATCAGGCAAGAGGAGGGACCAAAGTGACATTCTTCACCTTCTCCTTAACATCATCTCACAATGCTTCTAGCCTCAAAGCAATGCCAGCATGTCTAAATGAACTGGGAAGGTCAGGGAATAGCAAGGCTGCACCCTGCAGAACTCTGAAGAGCTCTTAAACCCAAACAGGACCCCTGCAACCCCACTTTCAAACACAGCAGTGTGGCAAACATTCATCTGGGGATGTGACCACAGCCTCAACTGCAGGGCCAGAAAGGGCTCTGTAGTGTTTGTTCTTCCCTTGTACTTCGGTACTCAGCTCCACGTGTTTTTGCCTGAATGTATCATGCTTTTATGCACCAAGGCAATGCTGGGCCACAGTCCAGGCCTCTTGGACTCAGTCTAAAAGTTAGCTGCTGAGGTTGGAGAGCTAGGCACAGCAGCTTCAGTTTAGGTTGTAAAATAAAACTTCCATCCTTTCTGTTTGTGATGGCAGGTAGCATGACCTCAACATAACCACTATCAGAATACAGTTTGTTCAAATCTGCAGAGAGCCTTTAATGATAACTCAGAGAGGTGAAGGACTTTATTCAATTTCACAGCACTTTTAATTCCAAGACACTATCTGAGCAGCACTACTCATCCAAGAATTAGATGTGGAAGAAGAGCACAGGGCTGATCACTCAGCTGTACACACTTCACAAAAGTAAATAATCCAAAGTGTATTACTGTGCCTGCACTTTTTTGGGTGACTGAGGAGTGAGTGCTCACTGCTGCTGTCCTCATAAAGAGACAGAAGAGCCTCATTCCACTCTCTGTGAGGAAAACCCTCTTTCCTTGTGAGCCCAAGATGAAAAATTGTACCAGAAAAATAATCACTGCCAGGAGGTGACTTTTGCAGGGTGCAGTTTGAGACCTGCATCCTGTGGGAGTGTGCAGACTGCCACTGATCTGGCCTCCCTGCTGCTCTTCCCACACCTTATGCTAGGCAAGGTCACTTAACTGTACATGCCTCCGTTTCTTTGTGAAGCAAGGCTAAACATTAAATAGCAATGGGTAAAAACATATATTAATAAATAGATAAGACCCTTAAAACCTTTAAAAAGTATAAATTACTCAACTGATATATCAAGAATTACTAATGAGGGAAGGAGAAGTCAATGATAACAAACCACTTCAACACAGTGTCTCCACACTCTGCTGAGAGAGGCAGCTCACTGAGAGAGGTGAGGCTCCTCCCATGCCTGGTGTACCTGGCAGGGCTTGGCAAAACATTGCTGGAGACACTGCTTAGAAATCTTCATCATCGAAGGTCTCCGTGCACCGCAGCATCACAGTCTCATGATCATAGTGAAGATCTTCTTCCTGAAAGCCCCCCCAAAGTCAAGATTAAAAACCAGAGGAGTTCATTGAATTTCAAATCTACAGTGAGTTGCTCAAGAGCTGATGTACCAGGAAATGCAGCATGAGCCCTCCCTCCTCTCTGAATCAGCCACCAGCACTTGATGAGTTCCTGAGGTGCCTGATGAAGAAGGGCTCAAATTTTCTGCCAATTTCCTTCTAAAATCACAGGGCTCCACCCTGTGTCTATTTCCATCATCTAGACAGCTCTTACTGACTGTGGTAGCAAGTTTGTCACATAACAGGCTCTGAAGGTATGAGAGCTTCCTTGAGGCCTTAACTTCTACCAACTTCAGGCTTTGCTCCACTTTTAGCAACAGAAGGAAAGGGTCTTCTCTTTCACCAGTTTACAGAGAAGAAATGGCTCTTGAGAAATCAAAGGCTGGAAGATAAAAGTATTCATGCCTGCAGTCCATCTAGTCCACCTTCTGCCCTGATGTAAGACTTTTCAGTGAAATACTGCTTTTAAAAATAGGTGCTGTTTGAAAATGTACAGCTTAAGAAGCAGTAAATACCACTTGCTTGTCAAGTGACGCATCTAAAATCCATAATTTTAAAAGAAAGTGTGCCTTTGAAGACACAAAGGTGCTCAGTACTGTTTAGAAAAAAAACCCCACTGAATTTCATGTAGGTAAAACCTTTGGATCTCAGTCTAAATTAACTCTTTACTGCCTTTGCTGCTAAGCTTCTCTTAGATATGACCTTAAGACAACAGCTCTTGAAAAATTACAAGATTGCTTAACTAATCTCATGCTCAGAAATATTTCTCTATCATATACTGTAGAAGCATGTTCCTGTTCTCATTTTGGTCCCTGCCCTTTTAAGAGTTCTCCCTTTCCTTGTCCAAATTATTTCCCCTCTCCTCTTGAGTGAGTCTTTCTGAAGCTTTTTATTCCAGTGGGGTGCAAGTCCCTGGCAGCCTTGAGAGCCAAGGCAGTGGCTCAAGAGGAGCTGTGCTCAGCAGCTGTGACCATCCACAGTCCAACAGCAGTAGTTGCAGTTTGTACCTGCACAGTTAACCAGAAATGACAGAACATGGCAGTGCCATGAATGACCAGCAATAAAATCCATCACCTCCTCAGCTCTGCAGATGAAAGGAAAGGAGACCATGGGCTGCCTTTAGTATTTCAGTGGGGTCCCATCACATGCCTTACCTTGGTACTTACTGTACTTGCTACCCACCTCTGTATCTCCTACAAGGTGTGTGCACAGTGCTCTGGGACACTGCTTTATCCTTGAGATAATTTGTGCCAGCACTGCCCAAACTCCTGTGCTAGCATGGCACCAGCACAGGGAAGGGGAATGGTCTGCAGAGGTTCAGTCTGATAAGGGAAGCAGGACGGGTTCCTTTCCCTGTCAAGTCCAGCAGTCTCTGATGCTCTGAGCAGCCCAATTTCTGGGGAAAGGTGAGTAGCCTATACTGATCTCTCTGCTGCTGCCTGAGTTGGTGTGTTTCAAGCTAGCTGGAACATCTTCTATCCCTGCTCTGCAACCACTTTCATAACTGTCTCAATCTGTTTGCTTTGGGATGGATCCGAATTTCTGCTCTCAAAACAAAAAATAGCTTGTCAGTCATATTTTCCTTTTTCTACTCTTTTGCCTCTTGGCAGCACTGTCTAGATGTGTTGTCTGCACTCTAAATCAAAACAGATTGTGACCTTCATATTATCTAGCCTGGGTGATTTCTTCTTAAATTCTCTTTTTATTGTATTATCACAGATAACTAAAAGTTCCTGTGTAAAAGAACCCTTTGCAGCTTTTTATTTCCTTTTGGATCTATACAGTACAGTCAACTGCCAATTTGAAGTACTTTGGGCTCTTTTGCTGCTTATCTTCCCATCACTCCCAGTCTTATTTTAAATGTGCCTCTTTAAACCTTGAAAGAGATGCTACCTGTTCCCATACCACCTCATCTGGGAGCTGTGAGATGGACTGAGGCTCACACATAACAAGGCAGCCCCAAGCAGAAGGACAAGATGAGACCATGCCAGGCATGACACTCACAAAAGAAATTTAAAACCAGAAAATGCCATGTCTTGCCTAAAGCTTTTCTTTCTTTTCTAGGCCTGCTGAGTTCATAGTAATTTACTTAAACACAAGAAGAGCTCTGCTCTTCCACAGAACATAGCTATTCACAGACCAAAGGGCTGTGGAGATCAGTGCCTGGTCTCTGACAACAGCCAGCAGAGGAAGTTTAGAAAAAAGTGCAAGAAGTGGGCACACAGTGTGGTCTGTTTTACAATAAATACATGTACATTATAGCAAACTGTGCTGTGAGGCCCTCCTGCACTAGAAATTGAATCTGGACCTTCAGATTTAGTAATTGCCCATGAATTGATGACCCTGGAGTCTAAATGTGGTAATTTGTACGTGCAAATATTTTGAATATGTTGTTTGTTCACTTTATTTAGTGCTTTCTAGTTCTTCTAGTGTTAGACACAATGAGTAATCATTTTGTGTACTGAATCCACACCATGTACGAATAAAATAGTCTTGCAGTACCCCTCAGTCTTTTTTTTTTGTAGAAAAGTCCTATTCTTAACAGTATTGAAAGCCTTTTCCTGTGCTTGCTGCCATTCTCTGCACCTTCTCTAGTGCTACCATCTCCAGCATGGGGGAACCAAAGGGCACACAGCCGTCTCTCTGTGACAGATTCAGACCGTGCTGCAACACCAGTTGCTGCTTTGTTTTCTGTCTCAACAACCCCTCATCACAAACCTTCTATTTTCCTTCAAAGGAGCATCTGCTCAGGTACCAGTGGCCAGGTGGGAACTAGGCAATAGAAATCAGCAAACCAATGGCTGCTGTGGAGGTACCACTGACTGAACCAAAACAAGCTCTGCCTGAGGGGTATCCCCCTTTCAGTTCTTTACCCATGTGCAAGCTCAGAGCCACCTCCATGGCAGGGAGACAAGAAGGGGAGGAAGAACAATGCAAACACAAAGACTTCTGGCTCAGCAAACCTGCAACAGTAGGCTGAAATTAAGGGGAAGCTCAGGAGCTTTTCATCAGCTCTTGCAAGAACACAAATATCCTGCTTCTAGGGCCTGCCAGTGGAGGGCTCAGGGCAAGGTGGTTCTGCTGAGCTCAGAATGAAGCAGCTGGGGGTTGCTGGAGAGCTGGATAGTGAGCTTTACCTGCTCAGAGGAGATCACTCAAGGAACTTTCATGCAAACAATAATAAAAAGAAAAAAATTACAATTCCTCATGTCATTTGCCATTTTGAACAATATTCAAAGCAGTGCTCACTCATACTTAACCTCTTACAAAGGCAATCCTACTGCCTTTTGGATTGACACATCTAAAATGATGAACCCCAAGCTCTTATTTTTAATCATTCTGGACAATATGATCAGAAGCATTGAATACAAAAATCCCTTTCTGACACTGCTCCTAAAATACGTTGCTCTGAAATAGACTGCTCCTTCTACAAGGAATCCTTTGGCAAGGCTTACCTGGCAAAACTGTGTATTAGTGAAGAAGAGCTGTTTTAGGAAGTCAGTGACCTGCACATAGAGTCTCTGGTGATCCTCTGGATTTTCAGAAGTGCAGCTTGCAAATGCTGAACTGAAAATGGAATCAGATACTGTATTTAATTTTCTGTTCTGTTTTCCTTATTTTCCCTCCTCCATATTTTACTTATAAATAAAAAAAAATTCAAACTGTTTTCAAGATGGTTCTGATATTAAAGACAATAGCCAAGCAAGACAGGGAGGAGTTGTGATGGATGCATTGATGAGATACTGTTTGCCCAGTGCAAGGCAGATATGTAAGAACAGAGAACAGAAATACAAGAAACAGGTGTCACAAGGAGGAGATCTGCTGATACATTACAGGATAGTAACACTGTTTTGGGCAAAAGCAAATATCCATTTAAAACAGACAGCAATGGTTATTTGGGAGTGTATTTGGTAGGGCTGTGCAGAGGAACAGCTTTGATTTCTGTAAAGTTTTTGAGTGAATGCAGTAACCTGTGATCATGAAATGACATGTCAGCTATAACTGGCAGGTGTGTTCTCAGGTAACCGTGGCACAAAGCTGAATTTTTCATTCTAGACCTCACCTCTGTATTCTTCCTGGGATTTTACAAAGTTCTGCCATCACAGCTCTGTCCAGAATTACAAGGTGCAGAACAACAGGCAAGAAAGAGAAAACAATAAATGTTGACTATTGAAATACCAAACTGATTTGGGACCTAAAACAGACTTTAAAGATTATAGTAATACTTTGCAGTATTAAGGAATACTTAATCTTATTTTAAAAGCAAATGGAAATTGTGACCTAATAAATGTTATTAATAAATAAATATTTGTCAAGGTTTTTAATCCCTTCAAGTATATTTTGATAATCAGCCAAAACAACATTATTTTAACTTATTCCCTTCTGGAAGTGCAACCTGGAATGGTGGTGAAAGGAAAAGATTCACATTAAAGATCACTCTAAATGTTGAAAAATAAGTAGAAAATGGGATTTAACCCCCACAGATTAAAAACACCATTTGCAAAGAAAAACAATCTTAACAAAGACTAAGTAGCAAGAATACATAAAAAATGAATCATAATGTGATTTTCCTCTGGAGGAAAACAATGCTTTTCTTTCTTTGGTCTACTGGGAAAAATCAAAGGCAGTGCCAGCTTTGTATCTGACATGTTCTCTTCTAGGTCACTCATCTGAACTGAAGAGTAAAGAGATGTTATTATTTAAAAGGTTCTGTGTTTCTTTGGTGTTACTGTTCAGGTCAACCACACTTTAACCTGATCACCTCCATGTGACTGAATTAGAGTAAGACAAGGGAGAAAATGTTGAAAAATTATCATTTTTGTTTCATTAAGTTATGATTAGCTTATGATTAGCTGATTTATTAGGGAATGCCTCTTGGTCCTCACAGGCCTGGTATGTGAGAGAGAAAAAGAAAACATTGCAAGTTTCAATTGTAAATTGAAAACACAGAAAACTGTGCAGAATGGCAAAGAAAATCAGAAAGACCTCAGTTCTCCTGAAGTGATGGGGCTCTCAGTAAGTGATTGTTACTGATTCTGCTGTAAATGACCATTAGTTGTTTCACTTTTTCCCCTTAGAAGGAAGTATTATTGTGAGCACAGCTGCTGGAGGCTGCTATTCTGACCATTTATTCAGAAAGAGAGCTGTTGTCTTACTCCACAGAGCACTTGCCATGGACTGCTGACAGTGGGCTATGAACATGCTGTGTCTGCCAAAAGGGGTGTTTGTAATTTACCTCTGGCTGGACAATCCCTGAGCCTTGCTTCTGTCAAGGAAACCAGCAGCAACATCAAATGCATCTTCAAACATCACCTAGCAGAGAAATCACTTCAGATGTCAGCATATCCAGTCACCTAAAAAGTTTTACCTAGGGCATAATTTTTAATAATGAAGTCTTTAAAAGCATGATATTCTTTCTTTACATTTAACAGGTATGGTTACAGCTAGAGTAAACCAAGAGATTTTGTGGAGGCAGGAATAATGTGGAATAACTGTATTTCATGGCTAAGAACACAAGGTCAGTCCACTCCCTTAAGCCTGTACTTTAACCTCTAGGAATTAGACTTCACATTACATCTCCTAAAAAAGTCAGTAAAAACCATGAATTGTATCAGTGCTTTAGAGACTTGACTGTGGACTGCTGCTTATGGCTGAAGATCTCAGCTGTACCAGCCAGTCTCTCCAAAAGTGACTCCAGTTAGACAAAGGAGTTTGGGTGCTCCTTATGCCAGACCACTGAAGTCATTAGTTCACTGTGCCATGATGCAGTTCACACACTCTCTGTGCCAGAAATACCATACAGGGAACATTCCCATGACATTTCCTAAGGCAATGAGCAATATCAGTTGTGTCCTGTGACTCAAAAAGAACATGTCAATGCCATTTACTTACATGCTAAACATCTGTCCCTGCCTTGCAGCTAATGAAATTACACATACCTCTTTGAGCAGCTACTTACTTCAGCAATCACTGCTCCAGGAACCATTGATAGAACTGGCTGTTATTTACTCAATCTCTTATTAATAAATGCTCTGGTCTACTCAGTCACTGACTTCTTGGCTCTGCAGAGGTGCATGGTACAGGCAGTCATTGGCCCTTTTCCACTGGGACTGGTCTAAAAATACTTTCTCTTTGCTACCAAGTGCTTTGATGAAAAAAAATCACCCAACCCAAAACACAGCAGGCTTTGGCAAACTAGGTATCGCTTCTGGATTTAGATCATCAGTGCTCTTTGGAGAGTGTGCAGAGCACAGTAACTGTGTAACTCTTGTTCTTGCTCCCTGTCCCTGGACCAAGGTAGGGGCAAACTGAACTGTTACTTAGCACAGAAACTCCACAAGTCAGTGGAGACTAGCAGGATTACTACCACTGTACTTCTGTAGCTCACTAGGTATCTCAACAAGAGAAAATCTGGTGCAGACATTTACTCAAAGACTGCTTATTGTCTCCATGTATGCATTCAATGATCTTGAGAAAACATAGCTACAACTACTGTATGTTTGCAATTAAAAGCTGCAGAGCCAATCAGCATCTGAAGGCTTGGAGTTTCAGAGGCAGACTATGAATGTTGCTGAGCACTTACTTCCTCTGGTGTGGAGACTGAGGAACCACTGGCTTCCTCACTGTTACCTCCGCTGTCCCTCACACTACCTTCAGTGCAAGCAGGCTCTGGGCAAGCAGCCTTGGGATCCATGAGGAAATCTCTCTGGCTACAGTACTGCAAGATGCTGTCCCTGCTCTCTTCAGAAAGCTCTTGCCAGAGATGGGAAATAGCTGTGGAGACCTCAGGAAGAGGCACCTCTCCAGTGCAAACAATTCCATGCTCTACCAGCAGGTCCACTGTGTGCTTATAAAAATACAGGTATCTGGAAGGAAAGGAAAGGAGAGGGAGTATCTCTTAAGAGCAGGCTACAAGGCAGCCATCTACTGCAAATCAGCAGGACACCAGGGAGTAGCTGTGATCCATAACTACTTCACTGACCCTGCCTCCCAGACTTCATACAATTACTGAATGGTGCCCAACACTGACAATTTCACCTGCAAAAAGCAGGCTCCAGCTTCAGCCTCAGCAGGACTCAGCCTCACAACAGAAGCTCTGGGCACTGCAGGTTGTACAGGCAAACCTCATTCTGGAATTTAATACATTTTCAGTTACTTGCCTTTGTATCCTTTGAACCTTTTGCACTGCAAGTGACTTTTTATACATTTATTGGCATTGCACTGCACTTTAAAGCCCTGGCTGAGGTTGTACCTGATGCATTAGGTACTGTACATACAGACAGACACTGCCCCAGGTCTGGATGCCCTGACTTATGCATGGGAGCTCCATTTCCTCCATTTTGCATCTAAGGAAACACATCCCTAACAGTGACTTCTATGCAGTCTGTAGTGAAACTGGTGGTGGAACACAGGGGTGATAATTTCAATCCAGTGACTAAATCTCAGAACAAGCCTGCTTCTTCTGTTAGCACTGTGTGGCACAGGATAATAATGTCTACTTCAGAAAGCAGCACTGAAGATTATTTTCCATTAATTAAATGCTTAGAGAGTCTCAGATGAAAATAAAAAGATCAAAGGAGTACAAACCAAGAGCTCTACAAACAGCAGTCATTGGTACTATGTTTGGGCTCAAAATGATTCCTTGGAAGATGTCCCACGTGAGCACATTTCCTGATTAACTGAACAGTATTGTATGAGAAAGTAACTCTAAAGAAATAATTCTTTTTTATTTGTAAATATTTGTTCCAGCAAACCAATATTGAAAATATAATTTTGTAGGTAAACATAAACCTGTTTAAACCCAAGTTTCCACACTCTGGAGTATTTTCCACCACTGCTGGAAACAAAATACCAGAAGGGGAATAAGTGTGCTCATGTAAGGTATTGCACTCACTAAGGTTTCTGGATGTCCAGCTTCAAACAAAGGACCTGGAATTTCTCAAGCAGAAGAACATGAACCACCATTAGACTGCTCTGCTAAAGAAATTAAGTTTGAAGCACGAGTCAGCCATTTCCTTCCCAGCTGGAAGGAGACAACCACATTTTGCACTGGACAGAGTGCTGTGAAGTCCTACCAGGGTATCTCCTGCTGCTGAACATGGGAAAAAACCCAGTCAGCCAAAGCTCAAAGCATTTCTGATGCTTCTCAATTAATCTTATTAAATGGTCACCAAAAGTCTGTTGCTTTCTTTGCTGAAGAGTCCTTATCGTTTTATGCAAGTTATAAAAGGTCATTTTTTTACAAGAATTAGCTACAAACCAAATGCAATCTGCCCTAGGACAACAGGATAAGTGCCAGAGTCTACACAGTACAGGCCCTGGCTGTTTATGGCTCTGTCGTGCAGTTTTTGATGAAGCAGATTTTTCTAATCCTGAAAATCTTGATTCAGCACATTTCAAGGTCTTCTAAACGATACCTTAACTACAGCCACCTCCAATTCTAACAGGAGCAAAAGCAGAGAAGGAGCGGGAAGCTGGTGCCATCTGCTGGTCCAGCTACAGTCTCCGTTTGAGAAAAAACCCGGTGATCAAAGGGGTTTTTAGAAATACACAGCAGTTCAAAGCAAAAGAGAAGAAGGAACAGCAGAAGTTTTTGGTTGTGGTGGTGATGCCATGGAAGAGATGCCAGCTGCAGCTCTGGATTCTCCTGCACTGCATGCTGTTAACTGTGGAATGATTAGGGTGAAATTCACTGCTTGATGGTATAGGATAGATTGCACATGCATCTATTTCTCATATCTTGGCAATCAAATAATCGTTTATCCTGTTGGAAATGCAGGATAAAACCTCTAAGTACCTCCTAGTGTTGTCTGACAGGAAGGGGAAGAACATGGACTATAATACTCGGTTTTAAGATATCACTAACTTTGGAGAAAAACAGTAATTTTACCATTATGACTTCCAAACAAAATACATAGACAACTGACATGAGAACAGTAGTCTTTGACTTTTAAGTCCTGCATCAGGCATTTAGGAGCTTGCAGGAGGAGCTTACAGGAGGTTTACAGACTCACATCCACTAGCTCCAAGTGTAACACATGAAGGTTTAGGTTCCACCCCCCTTCCCCAGTGTTTCAGAATGCCTTCTGGTATCTTCCAGACAACCACTATTCTGCAGCCCAGAGGCTGAGGACTGTAAGATCTTACTTGGTTGAATCCAGCCTTACCCTACTCTGATCCCACTAGAAAAGTACTCCAAGCTGCCAGGAGCTAAGGGTCTGCTTTTGGAAGGGGCAACAGTGTTCAAGCTCCTCCTAACAATGCCATTAGAGGAAGGATGAGCATCACTGTGAGGAAAAGAACGTGCTTACCTCTGGTTCCTGCACCTCCCTGGAACACATACAGCTAGACTCTTGGCAAATTCATCTGCTGCAGCAATTCTTACCCTCCTAAAATCTAGCCCGGTGGCAGGGATACAGTGGTGAAGTGTGGCAACACAGAGACTGACACATTTGAAAGAAATTTTCTTCTTTTTCTTAAGGGGTGAAAAATCCTCAGGGATTTACCAAGGCCTGAAAAGCTGGGGGCTGCTACAACTCTAAGAGTCCATCCATGTGCAAGCTGCAGGGACTTAGGAAGTGGTCAGCTTCATCACCAGCAGGGCCAAAGTTGCTGGCACAAGGCTTCTGTGAGGCAGACACAGGCTCCAGCAGGGCTGCATGAAAGGCAGTGCCTGGATGCACAGTGATAATTGCAAACAAATGAAAAACCTGAAGAAAACCTGAAGGCAATGTGGGGTGCACCTACCGTTCAAATTCCACTAGATCTGGGGATAAAGTGTCTGAAAACTGGATCAATTCTGGCTTCTCATATTCTTCCAGTGTTTGTTTTTCACATTCTTGAAGCAAATACCAGATGGCAGAATCACTTTCACTCATATCTTCTGAGGCTGATGTAGTGCTGGAAAGAACACAAGGGAAAAAAGCCACATTAATAACTTCTCAACTGGATTAATAATGCCCTCGTCATGGTGACTCCATAGCCTAGGGGCATTCCTCCCAAGCCAGCTTTTTCCTTCTTCTTTTGCTTTTAAGGCAATGAGACATCCTTTCCAGAGATCAGCTACATAGGAGGGAAAAAAAAATACAAGCACTGACTGAAAATGAGACCAACAACATGTTTAGAATGTTTGTGCACTCCATGGGATTACAGCAGTCCAGGTGAAACCTCCTTGTCCTTTCCTCATGAGGAAAAACCTCTGCTTGGAAATACAGTAGCAATGACAAGGAGTTTCAGAGATGCTGGGATGGAAGCAAGTGCAAAATATTTTTTCTTGACTGGTACAAGCCCTTACCTTTGACTGCCGAATTGCCTCCTGACATATTCCTCCCTGACTTCCTCCAAGCTGGATGGGCTCCCATCCTCCAGACTGCAGCTGGCTGTTGTCAGCAGAAAGGTCACTGTCACATCAATGGCACTTTTGGCTTCTCGCTCACCCTCAGCCCCAACCAAGCAGAACACTGTCAACAACTGGTTCTTCACAAGCCAGAGTTTTTCATTAGGCAAAAATGATGTGAAAGAAGAAACATCTGTCTCTCCTAAAACATAGCTAGTGCTACTGGGAGTTTATGAACACTGAGGAACTTAGAATCAATGCCTTCTTCCTAACACTGATTTTACAGAACTGATGGTGAAAACAACCTGCAAATCAAACTCTGGGCACACACTAATCAATACAGAATTTGGTTACCTTATAATGAGCAAATTGCATGTGAAAAACCCTGACATCCAGCCTGTGATTCACAAGCAGTATGGATTTTACATATATGTGAGTACATACAAGGGGAAGCTTGCCTCAAACTCCCCTCAACCAGCCTCCCTGCTTGTTATCTTTTCAATTTTGCTCTGTCAAACTATTCTTTCTACCTGTGACTCAATTTTATGGGTTATCCGGGGATGTGGGTTCAGATGAGGTTGTTCATTTTAAGCACGGAGACTTCTAATTGATTCAAATTATTGGAGGTGCAGGTCGCATGAATAGCAGGTTTTTTTCTAGCTGACAGGAATTTGGACACTTGGAGGGACAAAAAGATGTGTCCAAAGCCTCCATGCTATCAGCCCCTAGTTCTTCTAACTGCTGTTAGAGGCAGTGGCCAGCAGGACTAAACAGAAGGAACATTCTTGGGGGCATGAGGCCCCCAGCAAGAGCTGCCACAAGTGCAGACAGTACCTGCTGGCCAGTGTGACTGAGGTGTCACAGGCCGTAAGAGAGCAGGGCATGGGCACGGCCTGCCAAGCTGAAAAAAAAACCTGTAGCATCTCTCTTAACCATTTATATCAGAGTACACTCTTCACCAGAGGCTTCTATTTCCTACCCTAGGAAATCCTTTTAGCTCACACCACAGCGTGCTGTTGTGCAGTCTGTGCTCTGGCAGGGCTGGGTGCTGGTGACAGCTGTGACTGGCACCGTGCCACACTGCTGTGACCGGCACCGTGCCACACTGCTGTGACCAGGAGGAGCACACAGCTCCTGCAGGCTCCAGGTGGGAGCCTAAGGATCCAGCCTGGGCACCCAAGCCAGCCCCACACCTGCTGGGCTGAAGCTGCCAAGGGTACTCAGGCTGAATGGCCTGCTGCCAGGGGATAGCAGGAACTGCTTGTTTCCCCTCCTCACCTAGGCTAGGAAGGGGTGGGAAAGGCTGAGTCAGAGGGGGATTTCTGAGATAAATACAGTGCTCAGTGCATTGACAGACTTCTCACTGTCCCTTACTTATTGCTACAACTAAAGGCACAGCTGGCTGCAATGCTTTAATGGACAGTTCCTGTGTACTTCTGTCCCTATTTAACAAATACATAAAAACCAAGTCCAGGCTCTTTGTCCAAGCAAATACTTGCATACAGTTACCTTTCATCTTCAGCAAAGAACACAAGGTTTGCTCCAGCTTCTGGATAGATGTCTTAGCCTTACGCAAAACCTGATACTAAACATAAGAAGAAAACAGAACTGATTGTTCTCTGCTCTAACTACATTCATGTTTTAACATGCCTTTGTTGCTTTGCTTCTCCTTCATGTTTCCCTTCAGTAATTTCCATGTCTCTGCGAAAATATATTGTGAAAATAGTGTTGTTTCACTAGCTAGCCTTATACACATGAAAAGGGGAAAGAATTAATAAAAGAGTAAACTTCAATAGGGAATAGAAATATTTGGATATCTATTATGCAATACATACACACAACACCCAGTCACACAGACATTTGCTACTTAACTCAGATCTTTTTTCATCAGCAAATGATCTTGTTTGGATCGTTCTCTTCTTGGAGCATGTCCAGAAATACCATGCTGTGAAGTCTTGTTGGACGCCTACCAACTTAAGGCATAAGATTTTACTGATGGTTTCCCATGAGACTTTTGCTAGGAGAAGTCTTTGCCATGTTCTACATTGCTGTAACCTGGATTACAGCAGCATAAAACATGGCAAAGGCATCTCCTAGCAAAAGTCTGGATTAATTTCAGTGCTGCACATCATTCCTCCATCATCTATGCCACATACAACTGCAAACACGTGGCCAGTGCATTTAAACATACACAACTCCAAAATATTTCAGGATTTTTGTGCATGGTGAGACCATCCATATCTACCTTGCAAAGCCTTCATGATGGATATTTTAGCCCGGCACCAAGCACTAGGATTACAAGCAACCTTCTGTATTGAGACTTTTATAGATATTAAACTTCCTTGGCTCCCAAGAGTCACACAAGGGGCACAAGACACTGTGAAAAAGCAATTTCAAGAACTGGCATGTGAACACAGTCCCCTTAGACCAGGCAAAGGAAGTTGTTGTTTAGTCTTGGCTTTGGAGATCCTGCTGACTTCAGGTTAGCTTGTATCTTGCTCAGAACATGGCAAACTGAACTCTTACCTCAACCTACATGAGGGCTAAGGGACTCAGCAGGCACAAGCCACATATAGTGGGATTTAGCATATTCAGGGGACAATTCTTGTTCTAATCAATCATTATTCCCTCTACTTTACAAATTGGAAAACTGAAGGCAACCAGTGGAACTAAATGAATCAGTTGCAGAGTTGGGTTGATACTCCTGAGGTTTACTCCTCTGCCTCGAACATGGTAATTTTAGTCTTTTCAGTAGTATTTCAAGTAAATTTCATCTTTATAAACAATTTTGCTAAAATAGTTTCTTCCTTTAGTTGAGACCAAGAAACAGTACTGGTGCTTGTTTTTATTCCTGAACTTATTTTTCCACTGTCATGAAGACAGAGTGCACCTCATAAAGCTGAATGAATTATTCCTTTTCCCCTAATTCCTTCTGTCCCTAAACTCACTGCTCTGATTTCAGAACAAAATGCTGTGACATCAGCTTCATCATGGGATCCCTTGGTTTGTTTCCAAAATACTATAAAAGAAAATGCAAAGCCATAAAAATGCTGCAAAAAGCCTGTAAGAAAAGATAAGGCACATGATAAACTCATGACCCAGCAACTACAAACTGGACAACTCACTTAGGCTGAGTTGGCAGCTTTAAATAAAGAGATCCAGGAAAGGTGCATTCAGTGAAATTACACACACACTGGCACCCATAAAGACACAGTGATCACCCTCACAGACTGAAGCTAAGCCTGGCTCAGTGTGAACATGCTCATGTATGACAATGATGCAGAGAGAAAGAGTCACTGTTCGCACCTTCGAGGCACAGCTGTCTGACTGGGATAAAACTCTTCCCCGCAAGCTGCTGAAGAGTCTTGCCAGAGGAACCCAGTGGTGTGCCTGTGGCAAGTGCTGCTTTGCCATGCAGTGTTCTACCTCTTGCAGGTGTCTCAGGGGATTGTGACTCACTTTGGCTTGTGTCTTCCTACAGTCTCCAGCTCTGCCTGTTGAAAGCTGCAATGCAACATTTATTTATACTGAATAAATATCTAAGTGAAGGGAAAGAAATCTTACAGCCTGCACAGTGGATAGAAAAAAAAATCTGGCTGACCATCAAGAGCTTATCTTTCTGTAGAAAATAATGAAATTTGAAATATTTTCTTTGCCTGAGAGATACCTGTTTGTTAAGTACTTACTAAAATCTAATTCACCACTAACAATTAACAGCAACCCAGCTGAAGCCAGCCTCCTAGCTCCTGGGCCCCTCCCTACAATGATTTATGTTTCATTTCCATTGAAAATCCAGGGCTTGGCTTCACAAAGCACTAAGACTCCTTTGCTCCCACCGATGGTGCTAAATGACAGGCTTCTTTACGACACAGAATTTTTTTTCCCAATAAACTGTGATACATTGGTGTGGGCAACGATACCAGACATACTCTTGCACGAGAGGGCCAGATCCAGGCCCAGCCAGGCCTGCCACAGCCTGAGGCGCCCGCCTGGAAAGCCCTTCCCGGCTTTCCACTGGATTAATGCCCCTTGCCTCGCTACCGACCGCAAACACAGCCCAGAGGTAAGAGTGCCCGCCCCTGCTGCTCCGTCGGAGGTCGGGAGGCGCGGGCCGGCCGGGGGAAGCCCGTGAGGGGCCGCGCCGGGAGCCTCTGGAATGGCCCGCTCGCTCCGTCTATCAATCACCCCCCGTCCGTCAATCACCGCGCCCCGCCCCCAGCGCCGCCGCGCCTCCGCCGCCCGAGCCGAGCAACACCAGCCGCACGTGGCGGGCGGCCAATCGGCACGCAGTCGCAGCCCGGCGGCGACCAATGAGAAGGCGGGAAAAACGCGGGCTGGACGCGCCAGCGGGGTGGAGAGTGGGGCAGGGAAGAGGTTCGCAAGGCACGCTGGGAGTTGTAGTCCCGCTTGGGGCAGATCTGGGCCGGGTCATCCCCTCCCCTCCCCGCCCCGGCCGTGGGCGGGCGGTGCCGGCGGCGCCGCGGGGCCCCCATGGCGGCGGCAGCGGAGCGCACGGACGAGCTGGTGCGGGAGTATCTGCTCTTCCGCGGCTTCACCGCCGCCCTGAAGCAGCTGGATGCCGAAATCAAGGCGGACCGGGAGAAGGGTTTCCGGGTAAGTGGCGAGCGCATCCCCGCTGCCGGCGGGGCGCTGGGCGCGGGTGCGCCTCTGGGAGGACGCGGTCCCCGGGCGGGCCGCGGGCGCCTCTTGGCGCTCCGGGGGCTGGGCGAGGGCAGCGGGCCTGGCGGCGGAGGGAGCCCTCGGAGCCACCGCGCTTCCCCGCCGGGCTGCGCTGGGCGCCGGGGCCCGGCCGGCCCGCAGGCGGGACCCCGCATCCCGGAGCCCCCCGGCCGCCCTGCCGCGCCCCTCAGGGACACGCAGCCTCCTGGCGGAGCTGTAGCCGGCTGGGGGCTCCCCTCCCGCCCGGCTCCAGGGCCCGTCAGCGCAGCACGGCGGCTCCATCCCCTCGCCTGCCTTTGAGCCGGGGGCTGCAGCTCCCGGCAGCCGCCCCGCGCCGCTGGGCAGCCCGGTCGGCTGGGAGCCCGACCTGTGACCCGCCCGCGGATCCTCGGCTTCGAGAAGAACGGAGGAGACCCGTGGAACGAGGGGGCAGGAGGACATTCCTTTGCCTGCATCTTTTCTTGGTCATGGGATTTTTATCCAGTGGCTCTACAGCTCCGCTTGTTAGTTTGTATGTCCTGAGTACCAGCTGCCTTGACTAACTCGTCTCAGAATTTGCCAGTCTCAAAAATCCAGTTTCAGTCCGTTGTGTGAGCTTTGTATTCCTGTAGCAACAGTTTTGGGCACCGAATATAGTACTTTGAAGAGTCAGATTTTTCTTTGACCAGCAATATAATAAAACTACTTTTATCCTTAATAAAGCATGTTGCTTTTATTTTTTTTAAAACACCCGCACTTTGCTGGCGACTTAATCTAAATTGTTCTCCAAGAACGGTCTACTGGGGTCACAAACTTTAGTTTTCTATATCTGTAGGAAGCCACAGAGATAAAAGTTGGGTATGTCCTAAGATACTAAGTGATGAGGGGAGAACAAACCACATATTAAACAGCCTTAGTTTAATTTTATACAGGATGCAGTTTTTTCTTTTTCCGATGCCTGTCTTGGCCATCAGAAACCACTGAACAAAAAATCTATTCCCACACTACCATTGTGCCTTATTCATACTGCAGAAATGATTTCCAAAGAGACATAATGGCAAAAAAAAAATTCTTCTGCAAAATTTTATGCTTGCCTTGTTAGTAGATGATGTTACTAAAGATAAAGGTACTTCAAAAATTGCAATGGAGCAGAACTGACTTCCTCTTTCTGTTGGCTAAATTCAGGTGTTTTTCCTTTTAGTCTAAAAATAATACTTTTTTTTCAGGTGCTGCACTTGAGTTTTAAACATTTAATCATATTAATTTTTTTATTGTTATTATTAACAACACACTTTTAAAGGAGGTGGAAAGTTTTGCTTACTTGCAAAAAAATCCATCAGTTGGGTTCAACAAAATGTGATATCCCTGTCAAAATCTGTTTGGCTATGCTCTGTCATATTTCTTTTTCCTTCCTTTGCAAAGTACTGCAGAGTGGAAGAATGCTAATGCAAAATGCACAGTGTTTCCAGGATTAGAAAATGGCTAATGCATAAGGATTGTACAGTTAAAGCTTCTCAGCACTAAGTTACAGCAAGTCTTGTGCCTCAGGAGCCCTCCCATGAGTGAAGTGTCCCTGTTTTGCCCTCTTTAGGTGGATAAGATAGTGGAGCAGCTGCAGCAGTTTGTGCAGAGCTACGACCTGGCTGCCCTGCGGGATTACTGGAGTTATCTGGACCGACGCCTTTTCAGCCGCCTGGAGGACGTGTACCGGCCAACGGTGAACAAGCTGAAAACCAGCTTGTTCAGATACTACCTGGTCCATGCTATCCAGGTAGGGTTTCATTTTTAGGCTTCTTTATAAAGGTCCTGCTCTCTGAAACCAAAGCAATAAACTGCCTCTGTGAGATTCTGCCAGGCCTGCTGGATTAGGAACAAGCAGTTCATGTGTCATGATCAGGAGTTTGATGCAGACTCACATGATGAGTTTGTGTGCAGCATAAGGAAACTCGGGCAATAGGGAAACGTGGTTTGCTGGGTGCAAGATATTCACACTCACATAAAGACAGGTTTCCCTCAGAAAGGATAACAGTACTGCTAGCTCAGTCCTGCTCAGTTAACTTGGATACTGGCAGAGAACACAAGCTTCAAACTGGAACAAGGAAATGCAGAAAATTAATGTCTTTTTGCTTGCTATGAATAGAACAGAAAATAGTGAGTGTGAGCTTCAAATGAAACAGAGATTTTTTCTGTTCAAACCCTGGAAAGTCAGTAGAGTATATTCTCCCCTTGATTCTTCTTGGTTCCATTCCCTGACTGGAGATCGAAGAGTTAGTGGAGAAGTCAAAATCTAATACATCTTACTAGAAGCGTGATTTTTCATGGTTTGTTTTGCCATGTGCTTACCCTGAGGTGTGACAATCCTGTCTGAATAATGTGTCAGTTGGAAACCTTTTCAAGCTGTATGTGCTGTAGACTTAAGTAATTTGAATTATACTTTGGTCCTGTATACGAATGCTTATGTTAGTGCACTCTGCACTGGTTTAACTGAAATCAGTGTGTTTGGTTCGATTGGTCTCAGCCTTTAAACAGGATTGTGGTGACTCTAAAGAAGTCTTTTGGATTAAGTACGTTTGTGAGCTTCTCCTACCATATTTGGGATTCTTTTGTTTCCTGGTCAATCTGTAACTAACCACTTGTTGTGTCAGGGTGGTGAAAACAGTTGTGTTCATAACAAAAAGCAAATGTTCCTGGACCTAATCTGGTGGCATTAACAGAGTGTAAGCCCTGTTCTTCTTGCTGTGTTTCAGAATGGCCGCAATGACAAGGCGCAGGAGTTTTTCCTCAAGCAGGCCTCCGAGCTCCAGAACCAGGCAGAGTGGAAGGATTGGTTTGTCCTGCCCTTCCTCCCTGCTCCAGACTCCAACCCCACCTTTGCTACCTACTTCTCGCGCCAGTGGGCAGATACCTTCATCGTGTCTCTGCACAACTTCCTGAGCGTCTTATTTCAGTGCATGCATATCCTTCTTTTCAACTAATAGTTAAATCTCCCTTGCCCTGGTGTTACACTTTCATCAGTTATGCCAAGGATATAGTACTATGGAACTTCCTGCTTTCAGGTGATTTTTTACATCCAAGACTTAATAGAAAGTTGGCGTTTACCAGAGGATGTTGGAATAGTTACTGCTCAATTATCTGATGGTATGTGGTATTCCCTGGGCAAAACAATTATGGTTGTTGCTGATGCTGAATCATCCTCATGCTAGTGACTAGAAATCTTGTGCACATCTTGTTCTGAAATGGTTTTACTCTTTGCTTGACATAGTACAAAACAGTCATACAACCTTGGGTCATAATCCATAACTGAACTGGCATCTGCTGTTAGATCCTTCTTTGGGTACATTATGTTCACAACATTGCCTAGTGACAGCTCATTATAATAGAGCAGTTGATTTTTGGCAGGAATAAGTTTTTAGCCCCACGCTACAGAGTTCTATCTTGTTTGGTGATGGGCAGGCTTATGCTGCAGTTGGAATACAGCTCATCTTGAACTGTTCAGTGTACAGCAAAGCAGTAATAGAACTTGTCTTGCCCTCCACTTCTTACTCTAAAAAGAAATAATCTAAAATTCCTTGCAAAGTCCACATGAAATATTTTGTGCAACAGCAAAGTGAAAAGTTGACTTAATTACTTAAGCTGTTGCTAATCTTCTGGTCATGCACATACTTTTTGCTAATTGTATGGACTGGCCAGCTTTGTTTTTACAGATAAATGGCCAGTATGGAGTGCTCGCTTTTAGGATTAAGCCAGGTGTACACAAGTTATCACCTCGA